GTAAAACCCATTGTGAAAGAAGGGTTAAATCATGCAGTGAATTATGGCACAGAAAATTTAGTGCAACAGGAAGTAACAATTTTCTGTTCAGAATAAGAAGCAATATTAGTAACTATAAGTATAAGTCAGGAAAGATTAACCCGGTTATGTAATATGACAATCACTCCATTCCCAGTTATGAATAAGGAAGAAAAGATAGATAAAATAGGAAAGAAAACGGAGAAAATCCTTACTGTAAATCATATACCGGAAGCAGGAGAGAACGTGCCCATCCCGCTAGTAGTGTTAAATTAGTGAAAGTATGTGTAGAGGAGAACTGGAAAAAATGAGAAGCTTGTAAAATCCAAACTATAAGAAGAACAAGAAGCAGGCCGAAAATTAGTACTTCCGGAGAATGATTATAATTTGTCAGGCTGCAGCATACCAGCTATATACATGAAAAATCATAAAGATGAAGATAAAACACTGGCAGGAAAGATGAATGATACAAGAATCAGATTATCCTGCAGAAGAGAGTTGAAAGAGGAAGTAGTCAAAATGATTTTGGATAACTTTTTGGTTCTGGCGTTACATGTACAGATGTTACAGATGTATTAGAATGTGTCAAAAAAAAGAGATCAGAGAAGATTAACGTAGAATACCAGTTAGGCAATGAAGTAAAAATGAAGATTTAGAAGGGGATCAAGCGGAAATAGCTAAGGAGAGGTGGAAGTTTGCAGTATATCTGTCCGCTAACCACAGCATGAATCAAGAGAATAAGCATCATGATCAAGAGAAGAATCGATACCAAGAGAAGCATCATGATCTGGAGAAGCATTGAGATCTAGAGAAGCATCAAGATCAAGAGAAGCATCGAGAGCAAGATACGCATCAAGATCAAGAAAAGCATCAAGATCAAGATAGTCATCAAAATCAAGGGAAACATCAAGATCAAGAGAAGCATCAACATCAACAACAGCATCAGGAAAAGCATAAATATGAAGAGAAACATTGAGGGGTTAACGGTACGTTCCAAGCTGTTCCAAATTTAGTAAACAAACTGACAGATGCATATGTGAATCCTGCAGCTGCAAACAGCAGCATAAATACTGGAGACAGTACATAATACAGTGAAGACAGTGGAGCAGTTAATCCTAATCAACATAAATGTGAGTGTAAAGATTAACGAGATAGCTGAGACAGAATGAGAGCACAGCGTTCCTTGATGCCACCCCTTACCCCAAGAATCCTGCCGTACCAGATCAGATTTGTGTACCAATTCCCGTTTATCTGTACTAATGATAAATCAAAACAGCCAGAGAATTCCATGAAACCTGGCAAGTTCAATATAAGAACAATCATGTATAATCTACTTTTGGACGAGATATCAGAATGGAAACAAAACAAGAACAGATGTGGATTTGCTAAAAATGTAGAAAATAAAGGATAGATAACCCTATTTTTCAACACTCCCCCTCCCCATTTGTAAGAAATACCGTACAAAATCACATAGTTACACTTAGAAAAATCATATTGTACACTGTCTGTAAATCTAAATCAATAACTATGCAAACCTTCCTACGTCTGTAAATAACTATGTCAAACCTTTATTGTGATTAGCTTAACTATGTTGGTATTTAGTGACACAAAACTTGTAATTACTTCTATTAACTTTATCTGTAACCTAAAACCCAAAGTATATTCAGTGGGAATGTATTTTGATTACAGTGAGAGAGTAATTACTTCTTGTTTAGCGAACACAAAGCGTCCTGAATCACATTGGGAACTGGTAAAGAGATAGATTGTGTCCGGATTGACCTTGCTAGTAAAGAGATAGATCATGTCCGGATTGACATTGCTAGTAAAGAGATAGATCATGTCCGGATTGACCTTGATACTAAAGAGATAGATCATGTCCGGATTGACCTTGATACTAAAGAGTTAGATCATGTCCGGATTGACATTGCTAGTAAATAGATAGATCGTGTCCAGATTGACATTGACAGTAAAGCATTGGCACAGATAGGTATTGTCTTGATTGACATTGATAATAAAGTTATATTGAACTTATTAGTTCTTATGACTCGTAGACCAACGAGAGGGATTGAGTTGTACCTGGATTTATACGGGTCAAAACGAATTTATGGAGTAGGGAATTTGCTACAGGATCACTTTGTAGGGTGAGAACTAGTTTATATGTGAAGGAAGTATTCACTGTAGTTCTGCCAGCTTAATTCTGTTGCATAAAACGCGCTGGATCAACCGCATACTGGCTGACACAAGTAAACACTACACCAGGCAATCCTTGTACTGGTTTGGATCATGCAACGTTTGAACTTATGTGTATATGTAGCAAATATCATTGCAATCCCTATATTTGTTATCCTGAATATGCCTAGATATATTACGTTGTGCATTGTCCGTAACTCTAAATTGGATTATCATCAACCACGTAACATGATTAAAACATGTATTGTGATAGATTAACTACATTATTTCTATTCGCGCTAATCCTTTAAATATGTACATTAAACTGTAACTACGCTGTATATATATATCGACATAAAACATGTAAAGTAATTTGATTTACGTTAATTTGTAACATAGCTATCTAAAAAAAAATTAGTTAATATATAGTCTCCGACTAGATTAAAGTGAGAGATAAATCGGTTCGTGTTGAAACCAATACAAGCTGAGATCGTGTCCAATGGTTTGGCATTGATCTATTGCTAGCTAGTGTCCGTGTTGACATCCATAGATGAGGATATCTCATTTAAACATACGAGCAGAGATCGTTCCCATTGGTTTGGCATTGATCTATTACTAGCTAGTGTCCTTGTTGACATCGATAGCTGATGAGATTGTGCCCATTGGTTTGGCGTTGATGGATTAATAGCTGGTGTTCTTGTTGACATTGATAGCTGATGTGATCGCGCCCATTGGTTTGGTGTTGACTGAATACGAGCTATAGTGTCTGATTGACATCGATAGGTCATGAGATTGTATCTGGGTTAAATATTGATAGCTAAATGAAACAGAATTGTACCTGGATAGATACGGGTTCAAGGTTTATGGAGTAGGGCGTTTACTACATATACTCCGAATGGAGAACTTGTGAATTTTACCCTTCCCAAAACCTCCAGTGTGATTCTTAACCATGAGATAAAACTTTTTTGACTCTTTAGTTCTGATTTCATCTTAAAAACAGCAGTCATGAAAAATCAGACGGTTAAAGGCTTAAATCGTTAGCTTTTTTGTGAAAAAAAATGTTGAATGTAAATTAGATGCATACTTTGTGCATTTACCCCATACTTTCTTTTATGGGTTAAATATACTAATCTATTGTACAAAAGAGAGAAAAAAACTTTAAGCTGGGAATTTATTTGAGATTAAAAAAATCCTAATAATACAATTATAATAGTATAAGGAGGAAAATGCTTGATATCACAGTCACCTAAAACATATAAAGGGTTTAATTATAAAACGAGAATACAGAGGTTTACATTAGATAAAACATTGTTACAAAGAGCGAATCAATACTAAAATATAAATAATTGCAACAAAAAAAAGTTTCGCAAGTGTTTGGATATATAATAAATTGATATGTTTGAGCTTTATTATCAATTCGATTTCTTAAACTTAAAATTTAAAAGTTTTTAATTAAGTAAAAAAATACAGTTAGGACATTTATCTTTGGTATAACAGGAAGAAAAATTATTTTTTAAAAAGCTGTTTTTTTAAATACAAAAACTTGCATTTACTCTCAGAACAATGAGAAACAATGGAAATTTAAACCCCAGAGGAGTTATCCTTGGATCCTGAATCCCGAATTTCCACTGGTTTTAATCTCTCTGAGATGCATTTAAATCCCGAAGGAGTTAATCTTGGATCCCGAATCCCGAATTTCCATTTTTTCTTATCTTTCTGAGATACATTTAAACCCCAGAGGAGTTATCCTTGGATCCCGAATTTCCATTGGTTCTAATCTTTCTGAGATACATTTAAACGACAATGAAACCTTTATCTGTATTTTAATATTTGAACCTCAATGTTTATTTCTGGAATATTGCGCAATGGACAGAGGGCTGTAGATATGTAAATAATATGAAACACAAAACTAAACATTTATAAACATCATCTTTACATTGTATAAACAGAAATATAAATACATAGATTTTATGAAAACTTGATATTTGACATTTAAACCTGGACCATTTAGAATAAAAGAAATATTCAAATGGATAAACCAACATAATTGTTAGTATTCATAAAAAGATTCAAAACCATTCACCATTTACTGAGATTATTTTTTCAAAGTTTATAATCTTTTATTTTGGCAGGCTTTAACAGAAAGGCAACAAAAAAATTAAATTTAAAATGTTTGCAATCATTCTTTTGCAAATATAGGTTTGAATGGTAGTGTTTTGAATTATTGGTGTCACTCATTCGTCATTTATTAAGTTTTATAATATAATAGTGTTTTTTTATTTGTTCATGGAAAAAAATGTTAATTATGTAAATCATTGAATCATCATCTAATAATTAAGAAGTTGATACATGTGAACATAGAGCTGAACTCATTCTCTACTCACAGAGGGAGACAAATCTTTCCTTGGTTCATTCTTGGGGAATGTTGGTTAATCCCTTTACGAGGAGAGAATGAGATTAACTCATTCCTTCCATTTAAAAGTTTTCAGCTCTTCATGTTATTATTTAAAAATTGTTTATGCCAATTAAACATGAACAAAAAGATTATAGCCTTTGAATGTAAACTTGGTTTTTAAAATCCCAATAAAAGGAATTGAGTCGTTGAGCCACAAACTCTGATTTTCTAATCACTATATCTTAGCAATCAAATGTCGTAGACCTTAGATATTTTAAACCATGAATTCTGTTAAATTAATTAATCTAAGTTAATACATGTTAATAATAAATATATATATATATATATATATTTCTGTTATTTATTTAATATGTTTGTCTCAAACTTGTGAACTAATATATTATTTGATTTGATTTGATTTGAAGTTTGAAATATCGAAGTTTGCAATAATATTTATTTGGTTTTAAAAATACCAATTAAATAAATTGAGTGTTTATCAGGCACTCTGATTTCTCATTCCTATATCCAAGCAATCCAATATCGTCGTCGATAAATAATTAAAACTGTGAATTCTGTTGAATCCACTAATTTATGTCGGAAATATCGAAGATTTACGCGTACATCAGGCTGCAAAGATATAGGGATTACACAATTTTAGTTTACGGGTAAGATGTAACACAAAGTTTAAATATCTAGAGAACATGAAGGTTTTCACAGGATTTAGTAATACTGGCTTGTTTAGAGTGACACATTTTACTCAGAGCTTCTTTAACCATATTCAGTGTATACAAGGAGGAACAGCCATCAATCTTCTCCTTCTTAAATAAAAAGAAAATTTAGCTAGTTTTTTATATTTTTTTTCACAAAAATTACTGCATTCCATCTCATCATTTGCCAAGATTTTCTGCACTTAAATATACTGCAGACATTATTTTTTTTAATATTCAGCTGAGCAACAATTATTCCCTTTTCTGTCAGACAATTGGCATCGTTGAATTTGAGTTTTTTCATAAAAATTATTTCTGCAGCAATGGAAAAGAAGTACATTGACAGAATTAAACTTTTTAGGACTGAAAAACGATGATATCTACTTCCTACAGGGTGTCCCACGAAACATGACAGTAGCAAGACGACTTGAAGCTTGTTTTTGATCTTTAAATATTTTGCGACATTTATTCGTATAAACCTAATCACATGGGTGTATATTTTTCTGTTTGCAAAAATATGAGCTTGCATTGCAAGGAAAAAAGGAAGCGGAAAGGGAAGGGAAAAGGGAAGAGAATAGGGGGAAGAGGGAAGGGAAAAAGGGGAAGAGGGAAGGGAAAGGGCCAAAAGGGAAGGGAAAAGAGGCAAGAGGGAAGGGAAAACTTTTTTCGAAGTTTGCGTGATTTAAGTTTTAAGTGATTTGGAGAAAAAATATTATTCTGAAAAGGGGGTGGGGGGCAAAAAAGGAGTCTGACAACTAATATACACCCCTGCAAAAAAATCGCAAAAAAGCCCTAATCTTGGCATTTCCAAAATGTTGTCTGCCCTTTTTGAGCTTACAATATTACCGGAATTTTGTTCAGATTTCGTCAATTTTGATTTTAATTAATAAGATTAAAATCTGAACAAAAAATAGCACAAAAAAGGCAGATCACATTTTGGAAATACCTGGACTAAAAGAACTGCATGGTCATTGTTTAAAGAAACATGCATGTTAAAGTAGGTTGACGACTAAATGTCACAAATATATTCAAAGATTAAAGACGACTTTCAAGTCGTCTTTCTACTATCATGTTTCGTGGGACACTGTGTACTTGACTGCAGGCAGAGTTTAAAGAATTTGAGCCTTGGTTTAAATTAAAGCCGCGGCTCAAACATGGTTGGTTTCACTTTATGAATCAAAAATGGAATTCCTAAATTGGAAGCTGACTGAAAACCCTTTAAACCAGCTGAAACATTTTACTCTTGACAAATTATAATGTTTTCTTTATCAAGTACTTGGTACAGTGTCATGATTAGGTTATTTTCCCCCGTTTTAAAAGTAATAAACTCATTGTTAGATGATTAATCACTCTATTTAATTTCGTCTTCCTTGTTCAGAAGTTTTATTATTAAATAATGATTTAAAAATGGTTTAGAAATATTGCAGGAGTTACAAGGAATATATAAAGGAATAATGATTTAAAAATGGTTTAGAAATATTGCAGGAGTTACAAGGAATATATAAAGCAATAATGATTTAAAAATGGTTTAGAAATATTGCAGGAGTTACAAGGAATATATAAAGGAATAATGATTTAAAAATGGTTTAGAAATATTGCAGGACTTACAAGGAATATATAAAGGAACTTGTTCTAACTCTAAAGGCTAGGACTGAGGAAAATTGAAAATAAAGTTAAATCGTTTTTAGTGCTTTTATAGAAAAGTTTTTTCTCACACAATGGAATACATTTTATGGTTCGTTTATTCCCAGTTAATTCTTAACTTTATTAGAACTTGCTTATAGATGTACTTTTATCTATTTAATAAAACAAGACATTTGTATACATGTTCCCTATAGCTGGACACTCATGTGTGACATAGGCTAAAAATATTCGATTTTCTCAACATTTAAAAAAAGAAAAAAATCCACTGGCAACACAGGGCCCGTCAGCTAGTAAAATATATTTGTAATGTCAACATTTTTTGGAAAACAATGCGAGAACTACCTTAGTTTGAGGTGCTGGTGTTCCTTCTTGATGCCTGAGAAGGATTTGTTTAAGAATACCAACCAGGAGTTCATCAACGTTATGCTTCAATCCTGCACTTGTCTCAATAAACTTAGCGTTGTAGGAACACGCCAGCTGCTTACCCTCTTAACAAATAGAAACATTGGTTTTTTATTTTATTTTTTATTTATTCTAGTCGTGCCTCGTGGTTTCATATCATTACAAACTGAAAGGAAGTGCTCACTCTTCTTGTGACTTCTCTCTTTAAAGAACTGTAAGGGTAATTCAAGTGACCTCCCATGCAAAGAGTGCAAAGTGTACAACGGTCCTTCTCAAACTTTGACTGTTCATTGAGTAAAGATAGCTCTGTTTGAATCTCTTTTAAACCACTTGAATTCCTTTAAAACGCGGAGTACGCTCGTATAGTGTGAACTCAATACAGCAAGTTAAACTACTCCTTCTGCACTGGTACAGCTTAATCTTGGCGATGAAAAGGTTTGTTAAAAAAGTCGTAACTCGTACCCAGTACCCAGTTAAACTTCACAGTGTCCCAACCTTGTCTTACACATTTGTACAGGGCGAGAAGAAAAAAGTGTGGTAAATGAAAAAAAGCTTTGAAGAAAACAACGTTAATCCTCTTTCGAAAATCACCTTTTGTAAACTACCTTTCGAAAATCACCTTTCGAAAATTACCTTTCAAAAACTACCTTGCGAAAGTCACCTTTCGAAAACTACCATACACAAACTACTTTTCGAAAATTACCTTTCAAAAACTATCTTTCGAAAATTACCTTTTGAAAACTTCCTTTCGAAAATCATCTTTAGAAAACTACCTTTTTGAAAACTGCCTTTTGAAAACTACCTTTCGAAAACTAGCTTACTAAAATTACCTTTCGAAATCATTACGTTAAAAAAGAATTTCTAAAAAATGTCGGTAATTGGCACACACAAAGATATTATAATTATTTCAGTTGAACTAAAACTTATTTAACTGCGTCATTTTTTCAAGATAACCTGAGAAGTTTTGAAATAAGATCTTAAGAGCTCATGATGACAGTTTATGATTGAACAGGGAAATGAGAAAATATTTAAGGAAATTAGAAAAGGTTTTACAAATTTTTTGAAAATGCCAAATTAAAGTTAAATATGCCAATTTCCGTTTTAAACATACATTTTTAAAGAGAGTTTGATCGGGTTTCTTTTTTATTTAACTCATTATTTATTCATTTTTGTATGGAACTAAGGATGGGACTTTAATGATGACCAAAAATCTTTAAAAAATAGAACAATTAAAATTTGGTAATTTGCACTAAAAATAGTAATTAAATTACTGTTCAACGAGAGAAAAGAAAAACATGTGAACCAAAACTGTTTGTAAAAAGTATGTATAAATTCTGTACAGTCGTCTCTGAAGTCTCATCCTATTTTGAGTAACCAGTGTCTAAGGTATATTCCCGAAAAGCTTGCTTGCACGCACTATACAGAGACATTTTTATTTTAGTTTTAAACTAAAATATAAATTTTCAAAAATATTGATCATTCCATTAAAAAGAATAAGGTTCCCAAAGGACTAAAGACGACTTTTTAAAATGGTCCAGATTTGTTAATTGATACTCTGTGTATTATATTAACAATTATACTGCTGACTTCAATATAACTGTCAGCAAAGCGAAGCTTACTTAATTCTAAGTAAATACTAAGAGGTTTACAAGGAATTAAACAAGTGGACAAAGAGAAAAGAGAAAAAGAAAATAAGAAAGAAATTAGAAAAATGTGAAATAGAGCTTACAGACGTCATTTCTATTCATAATTTTTCAATATTAACGCCTAGTCATTATGTTATACATTAAAAAGGACTTCTGGATTAAGAAGGTTTTACGTATTTTTATATTTTTTATGTTCAGAGGCCGAATTTAAAGAATTTGAGTTTCTTTATCATACTCTTACCCTGATGAGTAACTTGTCTTATCCTTACCCTGACGAGTAACATGTCTTAGCCTTATCCTAATGAGTATTTTCTTGATCTTACCCTGCATGAGTAACATGTCTTATTCTTACCTTGATGAGTAACTTGTCTTATTCTTACCTTGATGAGTAACTTGTCTTATACTTACCCTGATGAGTAACTTGTCTTATCCTTACCCTGATGAGTAACTTGTCTTATCCTTACCCTGGCGAGTAACATGTCTTAGCCTTATCCTAATGAGTATTATCTTGATTTTACCTTGATGAGTAACATGTCTTATTCTTACCTTGATGAGTAACTTGTCTTATCCTTACCCTGATGAGTAACTTGTCTTATCCTTACCTTGATGAGTAACTTGTCTTATCCTTACCTTGATGAGTAACTTGTCTTATCCTTACCTTGATGAGTAACTTGTCTCCCTCTCTCCATATCCACTTTGTTACCGACCAATATCAAGGATTTACTAGAAGTATATCCTTGTTGGTAGAGATACTCCAGGTTCTCCTCTGTATGCTGGAAACTCAACCTGGAGCAAAATTTAAAATCCGCTGTTTTACAAGAACCGTCAAGTGTTCTAATTTACATCATTTACAACATCAGATTGCAAAGATATAGGGATTAAAAAGACTAAATTACTTTGGATTGAATTTCCAGCGTGTGTTTATTGATTGTAAAACAAATTAGCGTTGTAATTGTTATGATGAATGCTAATATATTTAATCATGTCTTCTTTTATAAGTGAATAATGGCTTTGTTGACAGCCAATACTTAAACGACATAATTATTTATCATTATTGCTGTTTAAAACTTTCTTTTGTTATATTTAAAATACAAATTTTGTATTCACAATGCGACCTAAGTAAATAAAAGAAATTAAGTTTATCAAGAATATATATTTTGTCGATCCTGAAAACGATTATTTCTTTTAAAAGATATAAAACTCTCATTTTATACTTAATTTAATTTTATGGAACTTTTTAAACATAAACCATCATTATAGAACCGAAATTTTGTCATTGGTTTTTCTCAATTTTTTTGAAGAATTTTATATAGGTCAGCAAGATTAAATATTTACTGAAACTTTTAAATGCAAAACTCGTTATCTTTATCGAGATTGAATTTGTTTAAAATTTGATCCCTTTTTGTATTTAAAACTTCAACCTATTTCTTGAATATCAATAAACAAGCTTAATAACCCAGCTTTGGCTGGAGTTTTCTCTTTTAAAGCTGAAACAACTAAACTCATACTAAACCAAGCTAAGAACACTTCCGTGCTTTTAACAAGTTCCCCAATTAAAATTTGAGGCAAATCGGTCAATGTGTTAGTGAGTTTTAATCGAACATACAAACAAACATACACCCAAACATAGATTACAACTTACTATATATAAATAAGAATGAAGACGATCTACCTGTCTGTAACTGAGTATACAACGGTGACGGAATGGGGTTCGTAGGTAGCTAGCGTATTTTCAACCTGGAATACGGAAGAAGTTAAATTAAGGCATTAGCCCACGGAAGTTAAGTGCGCATGCCGTAATGAATTATAAGACAGAGAAAAATCCAGTTCTAGCCGCGGTGCTCGGCCCCCTAGCCTGTTCTAGTCGCAGTGTTCGGCCCAGTGGCTTAACCTAACCTGAACCTAAAATATATACTAATCTCTCTCTTCTTGTAATTTAACGCACCAAGTGCACGTAACTTCCTTGGGCAACCACCTTAAATAATTAGATGTGCCATGGGAATCAGAAAAAAAAACATTTCAAAAATGTTCGATTTTCAATTCTTCTAAATTACACTTACGACGAATTTTTTATAGGAAAATTTCTTGTTTTTGGTTTATTGCGTCGATAGTAGATTAAAAGTTTAAATTATTTTGCTGGATGGTGTGCTGGTATCGGAGAGTGTAAATACAGGATTTCCGGTATTTTCAAATCCGGAAATAATTTTTTCCAAATAGAAAACAAACGGTTCAGCCTTGTGGTCCTTTCTCCTTTATGGCAGCGATTAACTAACATCTACTCAAAAATACTTAAATATCTTTTTTAGTTTTTTGCTTTTATTTTTCAATGAAAACGTGTATGGAACTATACATGGGTGGAGACTGACTCTGACAAAGTGACTTATATGTCCCATCATGGAAAGTCAACAAAGGTTCAGTCTTGATTGATCTTTTTATTGATATTTAGGTTTTGTGTGAAAGACACCTGATCTAATTCTTCTATAAAAACACTTGAAATTGTTAACTTAGAAGGTTGGTCAACTAAATTGAAAAACTATATTTTCACATCTTATAATATTGGACTAAATTCTCACAATGAAATATGAGACCTCGAAAGAATTTAAGTCTTTGCCACAAGCTCAAATTTGCTAAGCTCTATATCTTAACAACCTGATGGTGTAAACATTTGATATTTCAGACTTAGACTATTTGATTTAACAGAAATCAGAATTCATACAACGTTTGAAATATCTAAAGTCCACGACATTGGATGGCAAAGATATGGGATTAGAAAATCATAGTTTGTGACTATAATTCCTTTCTAAAAATGCAGAATTTCAACATTAGGTTAAAAAAACGCTGTTGAGTGAAATCTTCGCATAAGGAACGCAGCCTCCCCCCCTCCTACACACTCAAAGCTTTTCTAAGTAGATAAACTGATTACAACCCTCAAACTCTAATTTTCTAATCCTATGGTGGAAGCCATAATCCTTTGATATTTCAAAATATAAATTTTATACATAAATCAAATAGTTAAAGTTTGCAATATCAAGGTTTTTCTCATTAGGTTGCAAAGATGAGGGAATAGAAAATTAGAGTTTAAGCCGAGTGATCAGTTCCTTTATTAAGAACTGACCGACATTTCATTAGCTGGATGATCTATGAAGGTCAACTCAGCCTCCTGTCCGTCCAGGTCAATACAAACACTCTTCTCACCATACTCCTCATCTACAATATATAAGCACTAGGCTTAAAGGGACTGTACGCGTAATTTCAAGTGACCTCCATGCAAAGATAGCAATGTTTGATTCACAACTGTACCCTTCAAGTTTTGTTTGATCTGATATTATTTAGATATTCTTGTTTAGAATTTTGTATTTTTTCAATTTTGATTTCTTTACAAAAGTGGCTACTTCAGGAAAACATATAGGAATCATCGGAATTAAGCACTTTTAAACCTAGAAAACGACAATATCTTCAACATTTTTGGTCAGATAAAGGTTCAAGGGTACTGCTGTGAATATGGATGGCATTAGCTATATTTGTTTTACAGAAATTTATAATGTTTTAGACTTTTAAAAGGCTACGACAGTATGAGAAGCTTCCAACATTGTAAAACTTTATTTCGTAAAGGTTTGCTTTTATCAAACATGCAAATCCTAGAAGAAAATTTAAGACAAAAACGATCGTTTTTGGGTTTCTAAAACTATATTTTTGGTTCGTTTTTGCCTTATATTTTCACCTATTTAACAAATCTACAGAATACAATTTTAAATCGTTAGACCCTTCTCAGACTGTCGCAAAACCTTTAAAAGTCTAAAAATATTAAAAGTTTCTGTAAAATGAATATAGCTATTGCCCATCGCAATACCATCTTTGCACGGAGGGTCAATTGAACTTACCTTTAAATAACGAATTATAGTAATAATAAAGCAATTGAGTCTTTGGAACAAAATCAAATATTTAAACCTTAATATCTTCAGAACTCGATGTTGTAAACCTTTGATATTTCAAACTCAGATTATTTGATCTAACAGAATTCATAGTTTGAGATATCTAAGGTCTGCAACATTTGGTTCCGAAGATATAGTGATTAGAAAATGAGAGTTTGTGGCAAAGACTCAATTCCTTTCTTATCCCAAATCTATTATTTATTAGTAACTACAAATTTTTGGAATATTTTGTTTCATTGGCGAATTTTCAAAATATAATATAAACCAAAATGTTTATCGGGATTTTTTTCAACTTTGACCGACCATAAGGACTGCATTCCCTTTTTATGATATTCATTTACGTTTTAAATTGAAAGTTTTGAAACGTAAAAAATTGATTTAATAAAATTGAATCGAATCTCAGTAAAACATAGATTAAATGAAAAGAGCATCATTATAGTTTGGCATTTCTCAATCATTAAATTTTACTAAAAATTAAAGTTGTTTTTCTTGTCAAATGTCAAATAAGAAGTTTTCCTTGTGCATTAAAAAATTCGATCAAATATCAAATGTCGCATCTATAAAATGTCTTAAAAATTATTTAACTTCCGAAAAATTCCTACTAGCTTTAGTTTTTAATGCATTTCTAGCAATTACTATTATGTATATAAAATATATGTAAATAAAAGAGCTGTTTTTCTACTAATCTAAATATTTAAGCTAACCTAAGGAAGCATCGTATGTATTCATAAAGTCTGAAGTGAGACATTGTGAGACTAGAGATGTTTTGCCAACAGCTGCAGCGCCGATAATACAAACTCTGTATTTAGGAATCACCCTGTCAACTAATTCAACCTGAAACATTAAACACTTGAAGGTGGATTAAACAAACTTTCATTACTCTAATTAAATTAACCAGTGAACTAATTCAATGAAATGTAAGAATTAGTTAAACTTGGTTCTTTCTAATCCCATATCTTTGAAACCAGAGCTGGGAACAGAATTCATAGTTTGAAATGTCAAAGGTCTACGATATTGGGGTTATATAAAAGTTTGGTGCGAGAACTCCGTTCCTTTAGTATAGATTTGAAAATTATATCAAGAGCTTTATATACCTACAACCCGATCATGAATTATACCTACTATCTGATCATGCACTATACCTACTACCTGATCATGAACTATACCTACTATTTGATCATTTACTACACCTACGTCCTAATCATGCACTATATCTACTATCTGATCATGAACTTTACCTACTTCCTAATTATGCACTACACCTACTACCTGATCATGAACTATACCTACTACTTGATCACGAACTATACCTACTAACTTAACATGAACTATATCTTCTACCTGATCATGAACTATATATACTACCTGATCATTAACTATACCTACTACATAATCATGAACTTTATCTTCTACCTGATCATGAACTATATATACTACCTGACCATTAACTATATCTCATACCTGATCATGAACTATACCAACTATCTGATAATGAACTATACCTTCAACTTGATAATGAACTAAACATACTACCTAATCATGAACTTTACCTACTACCTGATCATGAACTATACCAACTATCTGATCATGAACTATACCAACTATCTGATCATGAACTATACCTACCACCTGATCATGAACTTAACCTACAACCTGATCATGAACTATACCTACTTCCTGATCATGAACTATATCTCCTACCTGATCATGAACTATAACTAATACCTGATCATGAACTATACCTACTACTTGATCTTGAACTATATCTTCTACCTGATCATGAACTATATATACCACCTGATCATTAACTATATCTCATACCTGATCATGAACTATACTAACTATCTGATCATGAACTATACCTACTACTTGATAATGAACTAAACATACTACCTAATCATGAACTTTACCTACTACCTGATCATGAACTATACCGACTATCTACTCATGAACTATGCCAACTATCTGATCATGAATTATACCTACCACCTGATCATGAACTAAACCTACAACCTGATCATGAACTATACCTACTACCTGATCATGAACTATACCTTCTTTCTGATCATGAACTATACCTACTACCTGATTATGAACTTTACCTATTACCTGATCATAAAATACCTACTAACTGATCATGAACTCTACCTTTTACCTAATAATGATCTTTACCTACTACCTGATCATGAACTAAACCTACTATCAGATCATGAACTATACCTACTCATGATAATGAACTATACCTACTACCTGATCATTCACTATACCTACTATCTGATCATGAACTATACCTACTATCTGATCATGAACTATATCTCTTACCGGATCATGAACTATACCTATTATCTGATCAGAAACTATATCTCCTACCTGATCATGAACTATACCTACTAACTGATCATAAACTATACCAACTATCTGATCATGACCTAAATCTCCTACCTGATCATGAACTATATCTCTTTTCTGATCATGAACTATATCTCCTACCTGATCATGAACTATACCTACTATCTGATCATGAACTATACCTACTACCTGATCATGAACTATATCTCCTACCTGATCATGAACTATATCTCCTACCTGATCATGAGATGAAGGTGAAGGACTGATCCTACTGGAGAGAGAGTTTGATGATATAGGGTTTGGAGAAGGACAAGCACTGCTGCAACCAGGGGAACCAGCTCTAATACCAGAAATACCATTATTTATATGTTTTTCATAATATCAGTTTTATTATTCAAGGACTAAAGTTTTGGTTTATGTAATATCATTTAATACTCCATTCATAGAGTGGCATGTCCGATTAACTACACGGTGACCTTATAACCTTTCTTTAGAAAGGAATAATCCTTTTCTGTATTTAAGGGGCTGTAAAGGAAAAATGAAAGGGTATAGGATGAAACCGGAGAATCTCAGGAGTTGAACGATACATATAAAACAGCTATCTGATGTTCCTGTCTCGAGAAATTGATAAAAAAACTGTGTCAAATTTATACGAAAATTCATATATATGCAATTTTGTATAAGAATTGTAGTATTAAACAGATCATATTTAACAAATACGTAACCAATCTGTAAACGATTATATTCCACAGGAGCTTGAGAATCTCAGGTTTGCTCATATTACAATTTTTTTAATTTTTGTTTTGCATTTTTAATAGATATAATTGATAATATAATTACATATAGTCCGTATAGTCCGTATTACATCACCAGAACTTCAGCCAATGGCAGTGCAGTATCGTTGTCAAGTTATACATACCGAAATCACGTGACCAGTATACTGCACTGCGATTGACTGAAGTTCTAGTTTTATATATACAGTTTTATATCAATTTCTCGAGACAGGAACATCGGATAGATGTCTTATAGGTATCGTTCAACTCCTGAGAGTCTCAGGTTTCATCCTATACCCCCTTTCATTATTCCTATACAGTCCCTTTAACTTTTTTTTGTATTGCGGTTCTGTTTAATCACACCTTCCTCATTTTTTAATGTGATGAAGTTTTAAAACGGTACCGTTATTAATCAGACAGCCAACTTACTAACGCATGATTGCTTGAAATTATGCCACAAGTCCATTTAATTATGTTATTTTTTAATTTATGTTTTGAACAACTTTAATTCTGTTTTTATTTGAGTATTAAAGTTTGTGAATAATATTTGTGTGCATAATGTTACTAAATTGTATTATATTGAGGTGTACACCGTGAATACACCTAGTCGAGAATATAATTAGAAAACATTAATAACCCTGTCGAGTAAAGGGGATATTAATATTATGCAGAATAATCTAATATTTATGTTTCAATCTAATAAACTTCACTAAAAACATTAAAAAGTAAAAATAAAACGTTTAATGGGGAAAACTTAATAAAAAACCTAATGAAAAGTATTGTTCTGCAAATGTTTGAATATTTTATAAGACTGTGTGGGAAAAAAGGGAGCTCTTCAAGCTGTTTATATCCGTGTATAAATACTGAATACATATTTGAACAAAATAAATATATTTTATAATAATATCTACTACATGCAGGCTCTAGCCTGTATCAACTTCTGTTTTAAAATTAAGCACTGGCGCTTTGAATGAGAAACAAAAGTAGAAGCGCGCACAAAAATAGTAAAACCTTTTAGAAATGCAAATGGTACATTTTCCCCCTTTTTTTGTCCCCTTTGCTAGCCCTTTCTTTCAAAGAACAATATTAAAAATAGAGATATATTCTAAAGACTGTATATTATATTTTTACAAGAGAAAACAATATATCCCCTAATTTTTTCCTTTAAAACTGTTTCAATAATAATATGCATGGATTTTATTTGCCTTCAAATTTTGCCTAGCTCAAAACTACCAGAATTATTTTTTCACTAAATTTTCGAAAAGATAATAAATTATTTGTTTGTCACTAAGTTAATTAAGGGGAGTGTTCGCGAAAAATTAAAGGGGGTATAGACTTACTGCGATAAAAAAGCGCTTTTGATCGCTACTAATCTTATATCAACTATTATACGAATGCGTCGAAAAATAATCGATGACTATTGTTTCTAATATCTGAATGATTTGTTCGGAATTAAATTGATTTGTTTACGATCCGAGTTGAATGTTGCATCTTTCTGAATTTGTATGGATACTACGTTCTTCGGTATTAGTCGTTTTTAACAATTTTCTCCTTAAAGACACAACAGATAGAAGTAAGACTAGTAGGGATCAAAAGCGCTTTTTATCGCATTAAGCCTATACCCCCTTTCATTTATCGCGAACACTCACTTTAAAAGAACAGTAAGCGTGATTTGAATTAACACTTCTTGCAAAGATAGCAATATCAGATTCACAACGGTACCCGTAATCGTTTTGTATGATCAACTATTAATTAGATATCAATGTTTATCATTTCAAAACTGATTATTTTTAATTGTGGTTTCTCAAAGTGACTTAAGTATTTATACTGAAGTGTAACATACTCATCTTTATTCTTTGCGTGGAGGTTAACTTGAAGTTACGCATACCATCCCTTTCCGAGATAGGACGATAATAAATCAACGATTGTACTTCGTTAAAAAAGTTTATTATTTTTTTAATGAAGTTTATATATTTAAAAGTCATTTATTTTTTCTCCAAACTTTCAATTAGTAGTTTTTAGCTTTTAGTAGAAAAATATCTATTGAAAGTCCTTCAATAACAAATCAATTCTTGATAAAATAATCAATTTATTTCTTGAAACTCTCATTTCATATATTTAAATCAAATATTTTTCTGAGGATTAAAAAGATTTAACTTGTTTCACATATTATGTATTTAAATGAAACATTATTATCTGAAACCTATATAAGATGAATAAATAGATATATATATATTCATACTGAAGATTGCATAAAGCATGAAACACTTTGGTTAAAAATAGCATTACATAAAAAAATTTTTGCGTTTCCACTGCTCTAAATACATATCTATATATGTAAAGTTGTAATCTCTGTTTGTCTGTCTGTTTGTTTGTCCGATTATAACTCATGAACCCCTGGACCGATTTTCCCCAAATGTTTATAAGGGAACTCAGTAGGTCCACGGGAATATTCTTAGACTGGTTTTGAGATTCTAAGTTCAATGATTTTACTTTTAAAGGAAAAAATAGCTAAAATCGTAATTTCAGACAACGCGCGGGCAACCGGTGGGACTTACTATGACTACCCTAGGTAACGCTGGGTTCCCCACGCTAGTATTGTATAAACATCATACAGTAAAAAATGATCATGCAGTACAAAAAAAGGGCTCCATGCAAGCAAACAAAAAACGCGATGGAAAAATTCTGGTTTAGTGTATTTTTTATAAAAATTTCTATCTTTTAAGTTTTCAACAACTCTGAACTAAAAAGAAAAGTTTAAACTAAATAGTTTTGAATATTTAAGGAGCACAGAATATTTTTCATTTTGACCAAAATCATGCAAAAAAAAGCAAAAGTGTTAATATTCAAATTTTATGCTCTTTTTTATTAGTTTAGTGCTATAGAAAGCACAAAATATAATAAACCAATAAAAATTATAAGGCCGCGAACCATGATGATAAAATGTCATATTGTCTAAAAAAGATGTCCTGCCTATGCAGTGTGCCGTGTGCAGTGTGCAGTGTGCATGTGTGTACAATAATAATAAAAATATAATATTCTAAAACTTTTTACAAGTTAAAACTTAAGTTTGAGAATACCTAAACATTAAACATCTAGCTAAAGTAGGATGCAAGCCGGATTATTCATCAGAGTTTATTTACAATCCATTCAAAATATGATGAATGGTCCTTTTATTGCTATCTATCTATCTATGTTAGTAAACCTTATGATTGCAATTGTATCATCTTCATCATCTTCCTCCTCCTCCTCCCTCTGCTCCTCCTCCTCCCTGTCCTCGTCGTCGGAGGCTAGGGAAGCGAGGGACCAGCATGCGCTGCACAGTGCACATGTTATACAACATCAAGCACAAGATGAATTAGGGTTCAGGGTTAGGGTGGTGTTAGGTACTTTCACAACTTTCTCATTAGTAAATTTTTTGTATGAAAATGAACCAATGTTACCGAAAACGGATGAAACTTTACTAACGAATTAACACTTTTTACTTATTTTGATTTCCGAGGTTTATTTTGTTCTTCTACAAGTGTTAAAATGATATATTAAATAATCTTGCAAAGACAAGTTTGCCATATGCTAGAAACAAAAATGCGAGGAAAAAATATTTCAGTCGTCTCTGAAAACCATGGGAAACCATGTAGGTTACATTTTCTTGTCTATAGTAAAGGTAAAAAAACTGCGGCTAGGATTTTTACAGAAAAGAAAAATGTAACTTAGGAAAATCCCATTGGGAAAGTATCTTAAATGGATCGCATTGAATAAACACTTAAAAAACGTTAAGCAATAATTCTACTTTCTTCAAATTAAAAAAGAAAATTTTGCAAAGCTGATTTGCAAAACTACGTTGACCGCTAAACTGCACAAGTTCTAGAATAAACAATAATGCAATTTACATGTTTCAAAACATTAAAAAAAGCAAATATTAGAAACCTTTCTAATAAAAACTTTTATCTAATTCATCCAATTTTTAGTGACCCTCCATTTATAGATTGTCATGTCCGATTCACTACAGTACCATTTACAACGATGAGTAAAAAAAGAGGAAGATATCATCGTTTTTCTAACTTCACTTCAATTAAATTCAACACTTTCCTATTAATTCACAAATAATATTTTTAGAAAGACTTCAATATAAGTAATTAATTTTTACGAGGAAAAAGAATTTCAAATTAGGTCTGATCCGGCCCTTTAAATCAAAATTAATTAAGAAGTATTAAGTAAAAGTCTATTCACAAAAATTAAAATTAAGAGTTACTCCATTAATATATTCATGTATCACACTCATCACTTGGTATATATTTCTTTGCAAATAAATCTTTATAATAATAAAAGATACAAATTCAATTTTTGGATTGCAGATAAATTGGGTTTTATTTCACAGAAAACGTGCATTGTGCAATGTGAACATCCATTTTCAAAGTTTTTTACTTATTTTTTACTTTAAAATATAGTTTCAATGAAAATTTTACATTACTGCGTTTTCTTCCAGTTGACGAGCATAAAAGTAGGATACTTGAAAAAAGTAGGATACTTGAAAAGAGTAGGATACTTGAAAAAAGTAGGATACTTG